AGCCTCCTCCTCCTCTTCGATATCTATAGCGGTATCGATAGCGGCGACGGCCTTAGCGCCGACGCGCTAAGCGAGGTTCTAGTACGGTTAGTATACGAAGCGTAAGCGAAACGAGGCTATAAGAAAAACTATACCTAACGACCAATCTCTACTAAACTAGCTAGGTTAGTACCGATATACTCGAGGGCACCGAAGAGGTTAACGTCCGTAAGGGACCCGCTAGCGGCCCCCTTGCGGGCTAGGGCTTTACCGCCGGGGGTCACCTTATTCTTATTAGTATAAAAGACGTACAGCGCAGATAGGATAACTAACGTCGAGGTTAGTATACGAAGCGTAAGCGGAGCGTATAAGGAATATACGTACGACTATAGAGTCTAGCTCGGCCTAGAGTGCCTTTAAGGCCTCGTTAGACTCCTCGATAGAGTCGTAGCCGTCTAAGTTATATAGGTCGCGCGTAGAGCGTACGGCGCGAATGCGCGCTAGTAGCGACACTAGTAAGCGGGCCGTAAGCGGAGTATAGGTATAATAGCTGCCGCGGTAGCGATCGCAGTTGCGCTTAGTAGTAGGGTCTATATTGCTACCTATATAAACCTTAGTTAGGTCTACTAAAGCGAGTTAGTTGCGAAGCGCAAGCGCGTAGCAAGTAGCGAGAATACGTACCGTTAGCCGTTATATGCTTAAAGCAACGGGTACAGCCCTCTAGGACTTTTAGGGGGCGCTAGGTAGGCGTAGTAGGTATCGAGGGCGGAGCGCCTATAGCGCGCTTGCCCGAGGTACGCGAAGGAGTAGATATACTAGTAATGTTTTTTTGGATAGATGTTTAAAAAAGAAAAATCTTTAAGTAATACTAGGGGGGCGTAAGATACAAGTAGGTAGGGGGTAGGCGGGTAGTATTCGGAGCGCTTAGAAAAAGAAGAAGTTTTCAAGCGGGCTTCGAATGCTTTAAATACTCGCCTCGCTTTCGGATAGCTTACGTTCTCGCGTAGCTACCGCGTTCTTAGAAATTTAGGCAACCTCTAGTTAGTGCTAGAAGTAGCCGCGCTTTGAATCTACAAACAAACAAGCAACTACGAGGCAAATTATAACGTGCCTAGCAACTATAGCCTAGCGATAGGTACGCATAAGACGCGCATATATAGCGTAGAGTATAAGAAATAGTATAATTTACTATATTGCCCTATAGCTAGGATAGCTATACCGGGGGAAGGAGATAATTGTAAGAACCTAAGCAAGTAAAGTCTCCTATCCTGCCTTAGCAAGCCTATATAACAATTATATAATGTTATTACATATAGTACGATGCAGCCGCGCTAGCGATAAGCTTGCTTAGCGTATGCGCGTAATGCTCGATCACTCGTACGGATATACTCGGTAGCCGGTACGGCAGATATGCTATCCGTACTAGGCCTAGTTAATAGTAGTCGCTCTGCCCTGTTCTGAAAAAGGCACGGTTTAGTTCTACTTTCTACTACGGCGATTAGTAGAGGGTGTTCTATACGTTGCTATATACCCATTTTCTTACACTAAGACTCCGCTTTCTATAGTAAGCGGGGAAAAGTCTAGTCTATATATTTCGAGCGCAAAGAACACAATATACAGAGCTCGTATCGGTACGCAAATTTTTTAATAAATACTTTAATACATATAGAATACAATAGGAAATGTATATTGTATAAATACTATAATTAGGTAATATAGTATAGACATAAATGCGAAAAAGTAATAGAATTTAGGATCTAGAAGTAGGGTCTTAGCGGTACGATATAGAGAAGCTAGCGGTCGAAACGTATATAGTATATACTATACAAACTGAATATAGAAGAACTAAATAGACAGAATGTAAGGATTATATATAGACTAACTTAGCTATTATTTTCGTACCTATATCTTATATAGTAGTAGTACTGTATTGCGATCGGAAAGCTATCCTCCTTAGCTTGCTATAGCTTCCCCTTCTTCGACTATACTCTCCGGTAGACTCGATATATTAGCTAGAATACGACTCGCCCTATATTCCTTTAAGAACCTATTTACCTTAGACTCGAGCCTAAACCTAGTACTATTAGTAGATACGTCGTTAGCCTTTAACTCCTTAAACTTCGCTAGGTTCTTAACTATTTGTAGGTACTAATCTTCCTTAACTATCTACCTTTAAGCGTCTCTTATAGAGACGGCTATAGCTAGAAAGCGAGTACGAAGCTAGCGATAGTAGACAATAAGCACGGCTATCTCGGTCTCGTCGTCTATAATAGGTAGACTTAACCGCGGAGCGCCTTGTTATAGCGGCTAATAATAGTATAGCGGCGGCGGCGGCTAATAAGGCTATAGATTAATAGGCGGTTGCGGTTAAGGCGGTCTATAATAATAGTAGTATTGCTATTAGACTAACGGCTCTAGCTACTATTAATTCTTGCCCTTACTAGCCTTGCCTTACTCGTTCTTAAGGTGCTTTACCTTATAGTACCGCATTATCTCCTCGATAACCTTCTTATTTAGTGCCTCTACTAAGCACTTTTTATTAATTGCTATTTAATCCCTCTAGAAGCTAAGAATTGGTACTATAAGCTTATAGTGTTAACCTATTAGCTCGTAACAGCCTATAACGTTAGCCTATCGTCTAAGGGTATACTATAGGTCTATATAAGTATAGGCCTTACGAATAGCCTCGTACTAAAGCAAGCGGTTATCGGTCTCTTATAGGGTAAGCTTATTAGTATCCTTCTTCTTACTTGTTTTAGCTATTCGAGGTAGTAGACTAGAAGGCAGGTTAGGAGCATTAGAAGAGGCTTTAGTCGGTAAAGATAGCTGTTGCTATACTACTAGTTTATCGCTAATCTTCGGACCTAGCTTAGAAAGTAGTATATCGGCTCTATAGCTCTAGTATTTAGTAAGAAGGACCTAAATACTAAGAGGCTTTATCTAGCGGAAGTATTTAATAATACTATTACCTTTGCCTATCTATTCTTACTAGCCTCCGGTTATAAGGAAGTCCTTAGATTATAGCTTGCTATTCTTTAGTAATAAGGCCTGTATCTTATAATAGCGGCGGACTAGGCAATAGTTGAAGCCCTTTACTATAGTATAAGCTATTATAGTAGTCTTAGCAGCGTCAATTAATCGTCGAATACTAGTAGCGCTATAGCTTATAATACTATAGTCCTTACTAAGGTCTTTACGGTTAAAGTAGAGCTATAGCTCGAGATTAATAGCGTCTAGCTCTAGTAAAGGCTTCTTGTTTACTAAAGGGGTAGCTTCTATAGTAGTAGAAGAAGTAGTCTTAGAAGGCTTTAAAGAAGAAGAAGAAGGCTTCTTCTTCTTAGTCGGCTTCGGTATAGCTTCTTTAATAATAGCCTTCTTTAGAGGCTTCCTAACCCTCTTTGTAACCTATATAATAGTAACCTCTTTAGTATATAGTTCCTCTCCTTCTTATCTACCTTCTTGTCTACCTTCTTATCTACCTTCTTATCTACCTTCTTGTCTACCTTCTTATCTACCTTCTTATCTACCTTCTTATCTACCTTCTTGTCTACCTTCTTATCTACCTTCCTATCTACCTTCCTATCTACTTTCCTATCTACCTAGCAGCAAAGTATTACTTATTAGTAAGCCGATATCACTTTGCTAGGTCTTAGTAACCTTAGTTGCCTTAAATTAGACCTTCTTTGCCTTCTTCGAGGTACTCGCTATTAAACCTGCCCGTAAAGTCCTCCTTTTGCTCGTAGACTAGCTACTAACTAAAGTAGCGGCAACCTCCGCTTTTAGCTGTTTTGCTAGTAAATAAGCATCCTCGGCGCTCTTTAGCGTACGCTTCTTAAGTACTATAGAGAGAAGTAGTAGGGTTTGTAGAGCGTATTATAGAGTATATTGCGGTAGTTCTCGAGGTTAGCTTCGAGCCTAACTTCTCGTCCTTCTAGTCTACCTTCTTGCGTCCTATAATAAGGCAATATCTACTAGATCTCTTCTAGTATATATTAGTCCTTCGTCCGTAGCTATTAAATCGCTAGTATTATTATATATCGAGGCGTCGCTTAGTAGTAGTGTTTCTTCTAGAATTAGAGGTAGAGGAACCGTATAGATTTACGACAAGTCGGGCAATTTAGTCTAGTCCTACGTAACTATACCTTATAGTAGAGGCAATAGTAATAAAGATTCTCTTTAGATTAGATATTAACTTAGACTCTTGCGATTATAGTATGTATTAGTCTACTAGACCGACCGTAGAATACTAAGAAAGCTAAAAATAGGTGTTTAGCGGGTCCGCTTAGTAACTAGCTATACGCCCTATTATCTGCGCTATATTCCTATATAATAATAATACTACTAATTAGGTTGATATCTATATCAAAATAAAGCGGCGAGCTTATAGTATTTATTGGGAAATCAATGGAATTTATTGGTGTAGTATGCCGGGAGTGGTGGTAGAATTAGTGTAGTAGAACACATAGGGGCACCATCAGCTGCCCCGCGGCTAAAAAGCCCGGGGTTTTTGAAATTGAGAATACCCCGATTGGGCAGCCTCAACAACACCGCCTCCAACTCTGAAGGAACGCCCGGCACCTTCTGCATACCGATCAAGGCATCACACGGCGACTCGGAAAGTCAAGCCTGCAAAGCGGCTCAAGAGTCCGGAACGACGGGCGAGAATTGAGATGCTGACGTTCAACCAGTTCTTCCACAGGTCACGAGATCACAAGGATATGTATATGCAATTAAATGCAGAACCGCATCAAGAGCAAGAGCGACCTCGGTTGGGGTCTGCATTGGAAAGGGCACTTAGCACTCAATATTGACGGGCAGTGGCACAGGACGTAGAGGTCCTTAGACCTGCGGAGTTCCCATTTATGGATTGTGCCTTGCGGCGAAGCCAATTATTGACAACGTCCTGACGGTGTTGAAGATCTGTCATCAAAGCAGTGCTACCACCAACGCCGGCGCTGGAGAGATTTTCAAACCCCTGTTCGGGCATCCTAATAGTATCGTGATACCGTACCCCGTTCTCCTCACTTCTTCAAACCTTCTTGTCGACCTTGCCTCACGAGCCACAGGAGCAGATCCACCTTAGTAGCAACAGCGAGTGGCTTGAGTGAACCATCATTATCACGTTCCGTCACAATTGCAGCCGCGTTCCAAACGAAGAAGCGCTCTAGGTAGCTAAGAGGTGTTTCCATGGTGATCTCGACAAATTGGCGTTTGCTCTCTTCGCCTTCAGCGCCCTCAGGACTGACCTCGATGGGCTTGAACTCGTCGGTCTTCGAGAAGTGGAACATGACATCCGCCACCGGGCTTTTGATGTTCACCCGACCTGAGGACAAGTACGAAAGACAATTACCAAGCGTGACCATGCCCACCAGTCTTTTGCCTGATCCTGAGGTAACGGGAATCTGGTCGTAACCCTTGTCGCGCATGAGTTCAACGGCATCGTCGACGCTCGCAGTTTCAGCGATGGTTTGGATAGGTTTGAGTCGAAGATCCTTTATCTTGGCGTTGGCATGCTTCTCCTTGGTGTGGATGGGCAGCTGGGCTGGAGTTGAGGCGTCCGTATTAACGGCGTCTTCCGGGTCGATAGCGTGAGCCTTGGGCGTTGGCGGAGCAGTCAGAGGGTCTGCAGGTGGTAGCAAATCATTTGCTGCCAGCCAGTCATCGTCGACAAATTTGGACAGGTAGCTTCGAATGCTGTCTGGTAGAATGACTACCACCGAATCGTCCTCGCTGAGTTTGAGATCCTTGATTGCTCTCATACACGCTGCCATGGCTGAGCCGGAGCTTCCACCCACAAGTAGACCCTCTTCACGAATGAGTCGTCTTGCCCAGTAGAAGGACTCGCGATCATCTGTTTTGTACCAGACATCGACCTCGTTTTGAGCCAACACATCGGGAATGAAGTCGTAACCGATGCCTTCTACCTTGTAGGGAGAGTCTTTGCCATCGTCGTTGAGCTCGGCTGGCAGAGCCAGGATAGAGCCCTTGGGATCAGCGGCGACTATTTGCACCTTACTTCCGTGTGCCTTCCTGATTCCTCGCGAGATACCTGTGATTGTGCCTCCAGTACCGGCTCCAGCGACCACTGCAGCGAGGTTGCTGGGCAGCGCACTGGTCTGCTCAACAATTTCGGCCGCAGTGCCAAACTCGTGAGCCAGAGGATTGTTTGGATTGCCGTACTGATCCAGAATTACACCGCCTGGTATCTCTTTCTCTAGCCGTCGGGCCACTCCAATATGACTCTCCGGACTGTCCCATGCCGCGCTGGTAGGTGTGCGGATAATCTCAGCACCCAAAGCCTTCAGCACGCTCACCTTCTCGCTGCTCATCTTCTCTGGCAGAGTGATAATGGTTCGATAACCCTTGACTGCACCTACGAGCGCAAGACCTATACCGGTATTGCCACTCGTCGGCTCAATCAAGACACTGTAACCAGGCTTGAGGCGGCCTTCCTTCTCGGCCGCCTCGACCATTCGCAACGCGATTCGATCCTTTACACTTCCGCCGGCGTTGAAGAATTCACACTTTGCGTAGACTGTCGCCTTGACGCCGATCGACTGCGGCACCTTATTTAGGCGCACTAGAGGTGTGTTGCCGATGTTTTCCAAGATGGTGTGCATGACGGCTGGCGGGTTGCGCGGTTCTCTCGATGTTACGTGTGACATGTTGCCTGCGCTGGATCTGTTTGTAGGGAGGGTTGGTGTTTGATGAGAGCGAAGGCGAAGGCGATGCCGACGGCGAATCCAACGGCACTGGTAGGTGTCAGCGCAGGAACTTACTGAGGTTTCAAATGGGCCACTTTGGAGTAGCTATGAATCCCTCCATCTGCAGCTGCTTCCGCCGACTCGAAATGGTGATGCCGGTCCTGTGGAACATCTACGTCGCAACCAGGCCCAGGCATTTCTAAGGCCTCGCGGAAACGCTGAGTAAGTGGCATAAGCAGGAGTCCCCTCCGCACCTCTCACCTAGACTACTGGTCTCTCACAACACTCTTCTACACACACAACAAGATGGCGCCACGCTTGGCATGGATTGGCCTCGGCAACATGGGAAGAGGCATGGTGAAGAATATCGTCGAGAAAGGTGAATTTTCGGGCCCCGTCATTATCTACAATCGAACTGCTGCCCGAGCCGAGAAACTTGTGTCGACCCTTCCTGAAGGCAAAGCGAAAGTCGTCACTTCTATCCCTGATGCAGTCAAGGAGGCCGACATCATCTTCACTTGCGTCTCGGACGATGCTGCGATTGAAGAGACGATTGACGCAGCTTTGAAGGTGCCGGAAGCCAAGGGCAAGCTGTTCGTGGATTGCTCGACCGTCCACCCAGATACAACCGACAAGCTGGCCAAGAACATCAACAGCGCTGGTGCCCAATTCGTAGCAAATCCAGTGTTTGGTGCGCCAGCCATGGCCGACAACGGTCAATTAGTCTGCGTTCTTGCTGGACCAAAAGCACTGGTGGACAAGGTTCTGCCATACTGCAAGGGTGTCATGGGTCGGGCTGAGATCAACTACTCCGATCAGCCTCATGGAGCGGCAACCCGACTAAAGATCATCGGCAATACCTTCATCGTGCAAATGATTGAGGCATTATCAGAAGGACATACGCTGGCCGAGAAGAGTGGACTTGGAGTCGACAATTTACATCAATTTATCGAGACCATGTTTCAAGGTCCTTATACCGCTTACAGCAAACGTCTCATGACTGGAGATTACTACAACCGCGTGGAACCTCTTTTCCAGGCTAAACTAGCGCGCAAGGATGCAGGCCATGCACTGAACTTGGCCAAATCTTGCGGTGCGAGAATGCGAGCTGTGGAGCTGGCAGACGAACATCTCAAAGCCGTGGTCGATCACGCAGGGGACAAGGGCGATATCGCCGGCATCTACGGAGCAGTCAGAAAGGAGTCTGGACTTCCGTTCGAGAACAAGAGATGAGACTTCAGTAGATCCAGGGCAATACTTATATATGCAACATGACCAGAATGAGTCGGCCTTGCGTCGGTCAGAGGTCAATCTCATTCCATGTGCACAACCAAAAATGATGAATGCCATCTTGTAGTGTCCGCGTTGCTAGGCAGCATGGCAAGTGAAGTATGTATACTGTAATCTTGACTGTGTATCTGTCGAGCACTATGCCAAGCCAAACGATCTACTGTGCAGGAAGTACCCTGCTCCGAGGGCTGTTCTGTTCTGATTGGCTGCTTCCGTCCATGAATAGCCAGCTTCGACTCCTTCGTCCCGGCTTTCACTGTTCTTCGAAGCCAACCATACCACAAACATATGCGATCAGAGGCTCACAGACCATAAACATGAGCATGATGTCGTGTTCAATCTCTGCTTGGCTTGTCAGCACCCATACTTCATTTTCTGTACTCATGGATGATGAAGAGCTGCTGGATCCTGCGGGCTCCGCCACTGCAGCTGAAAGCCACCGAGAAGCATCACGACGAATGAGATCGTTGTAGGAATCAAGAGAGGCATCCAGCCTTACACTGCGGTAAGTCGTCATGTCTTCCACATCCTGTTCCTGGGAGCATCCAGACCCTTTCCTCGAACGACATGTCGCTATCAACAGCCCATGAAAGGGTGTCCCTCTTTCGTGAGGCTCCGATGGCTGCTGGAGACTTCTCAGATGACAAGAGCAGTAAGTCAATGTTAACATGTCGTTTGGGCTAGCTAACAGGCACAGAATCGAGAGGAGTCCAGAAACATCGCTTCAATTACAAGCCTGTAATACTCAGGACAATTCCGCTACTATGCCTGTTCGTTCTCTCTTTGCTCCTCATCGGACTGCTCCAGTGCGCTGTTGTCCAGCTACCGCATGGCGTGAATAGGCTGGGAGCCTCATCTATAGGTAGTCATGAGAAACGCAACTACGATATTTTTGTCCGGCAAGACAGTGCCTCGGCTCAAGATTCACAGTCAAGCATATCAGCGAGAGAGAGCACGACCGTCGGTTCCACATCGAGCAGCAGCACACCCACGTCAACGAGCCAGATCGACGTTTCTAATTCGCCATCCGAACGACCTACAATGTCTGCAGCGACCTCCGACTACCTCGATCAAGATCGAACCACTACTCTAGAAGTTACCACGCAGCAGACTGCGTACTTGACATCCTCAGAGACAGTCGCTTACAGCACGGCTGAGAGTGCTTACCTCGATCAAGATCAAACCGCCGAGTCCACGACCACAGGCAGCGACTACTTGACATCGAAAGAGACGTTCACGATCGTGCCGTCTGCACCTATCAGTCAGTATCTGCAGACAGGGAAGACAGTCACACCTTCACCAGCCTCTGCGGCTCAAAGCGAGTACGTCCAGACCAGGGAGACAATCCGTCCGGTCGCGACTACCTTCCTCGTTGTATCTACTTCGCAGAGCGCAGTGATAGTACCCATCACACAGTCATCGAGCGATCGGACAACAGTGCAATCGAATACTCGGTCGGCCTATCTCACGCAGGGCGACCATACTCGCACATCTACGTACCTTACCGTCGTAGCGAGTGCTTCCAGTACCGCGTATGTTCCGGTATTGGTAACAAGGACTGTGACATCCACATCTGGAGGACAACGACCGACAACAACATCTGGCCAGGACGGCGCCGACTCAGAACCTGTCGGTCATGGAAAGTCCACTGTGGTTGTAATTTCATGGAACCAGAGTCAGATATTTCTCAGCACTTATCTAGCCGTTCTGCTCGCGGTCATCTACCGACTGCTGTTCAGCGTGGTTCACAACATCGAAAGCATGAGCCCAAGATACCTGTGCATCCAGATACATTAGGGGCAAAAATGAGCTATCTAGCTGGAGCTAGGATGCTTGACGACTTTGAGGGCTCCGAATATGAGAAGCCAGCTGCACGGAATGCCAGGTTGCGTCTTCTCAGGAAGGAGTATGAGTTCAGAGCAACGATACGAAAAGATGGAAGACGAGCGTGGCTCGTTGACGAAGCCCACGACCAAAGAAGAAGCTATGAGAGCGTTTGACCGCATAATGATTGAGATACCCAGACCGCCACTTCAAGGCTGCATGCTACCTGATTTCGCCCCCTGTTCTCTAATCTCCAGGTACTTCCTATCGGGGTAAGTAAATGCATGGAGCGACGACCCCTCTCGAGGAATTAGGTTGACTTCGTCCGCCCCGGAAAAGCGAAAGTGTGGAGTACAGCCTCGCGTGGCATTCGGGTCACCATTGTGTCACAAGACCTTGCTATCAGCCAACCTCTGGGTAATCGCCGCCGCCGGCATTGGCTGGAGACGTGCCGGCCCTCATCAGCAGACCAGACATCTCTGCGACGGCACTCCTATTTCAGTCTTCGATCAGGCCCTTCTCGAGTTCCCAATTAGGTGCGCCAGTCCATACGCACCTCAATGGCAGCAGCACACCAAAAAGCGGCCACTATGGCATTGCATCGCGTTCCCCATCATCCACTTCTTCTGTATCCCAGATCACTCGACAAAGCAGCATCACAATCATGGCATCCTTGATGAACTTTTTCGGACGTGGCAAGGCCACAACCGAAGAGCCAAAGAAGAACGGAACAGTGCGAGCACTTCCTGCAGCATGGTACACCTCACAAGAAATGTACGAGCTTGAGCGTCGTGCAATCTTCCAAAGACGCTGGCTTTTCATCACCCACAAGTCCAGACTCCAGCAGCCAGGCGATTTCCTTCGCTACAAGATTGCAGGTTACGACTTCGTCCTCGTCGTTGACAGGAACAATCAGATCAATGCTTTCCACAACGTATGCAGACATCGCGCTTACAAGGTCGTTGAAGAGGAGTCTGGACGCAAGAACATCCTTGCCTGCCGATATCATGGCTGGTCGTACGGATTAAACGGAAAGCTGGCGAAAGCCCCAGATTACCAGCAGATCGAGGGTTTCAACAAAGATGACAACAGCCTTCTTCCCATCCACACTCACGTCGACGACAATGGATTCGTCTGGATCAACATGGATGCGGGCGAGAAACCAGAAATCTCCTTCGAGCAGGATGTCGGCGAGCAGAACGTCAAGCAGTCTCGATTCGAAAAGTTCAATTTCGACAACTACGAACTCGATCATGTCTATGGTGAGCACACTATATCTCTGATCTCGCAATTCGAACGCTTGCTAATTCATCGAACCAGAACTCAACGGCGACTACAACTGGAAAATCGCGTCGGACAACTTCAACGAATGCTACCACTGCAAAACCACACATCCCGACGTCCCAACTTTCCTCACAATCGACAGCCATAACTGCGAAGGCGACAACGGCCATCTCCAGCACGACCAAGCACCCACCAAGGAACAAATAGAGAAAGGATTCGATTGCAACAGCACTTACTATTTCCCACACGCCTCCATGACAGTCTCGTAAGTATCCATGCCCAATCCCAACTCCACCCTCCACTAACATTAGATCCCTCTAGGCCACACTTCCTGATGATCCAAAAATTCCTCCCCGGTGGCCCTTCCAAGTCCGTCATGCACTACGAAATCTACCGAAACAAAAGCTCGTCGGACGAAGATTTCCACGCCATAGCCGACACATATTCTCGCGTCATGGGCGAAGACAAAGTCCTTTGCGAGAGAGCACAGTCTAACCTCAACGCTGGGGTTTTTGTGAATGGCGAATTGCATCATCGGTGGGAGAAGGGACCGCTCTACTTTCAGCAGCAGTGTCGCGAGGCCATCACGGAACATTTCAATAAGGAGAAGGCGGCAGGTCGTGAACTGAATCCGGCGATGCAGAAATTGAAGGAGGGGGAGAGTAATAGTGATTTGGAGATTTGTGCTTCGCTGGCGTGCAATGCGAGGAAGGAGGTTTTGGCGTGGTAGAGGAGAGATGGGGATGTCGGTTCGGATTTGGGTACGTGCGGGCGTTGCTGAGCGTTCTTCGGACTTGGGTAGGTACGGAGGTGGTATTAAGAATTGGTCTACAGCGTCAACGCACATCGGAGTGAAAGTTAGCGTCCGGAGCCCTGGAAGGTGCATAATATTAGCACTTCCGGCACCGCTAATTGCAGTATCCTATACTAAATCGAGGTGTTAGCGCCGCGGCTAAGTATAGTACCTATAGAAAGGCTTAGCTATTAATTCCTCCGACTAGAGGGCTTAGAAGTTACGTATAGGCACTATCTAGGGCATATATAGACTATCTTTTAGTAGATTTAATAATATATTATTTTATAAGCTTTTTATAATATTAAAGAAAGGAAAAAGGAGTAATTTAGAAGTAAGCTAAAGGTCGTTATATAATTAGGAGTAGGTCTATACTAGATTAATAGTATTCGAGAGTATAATTATAAAGGAGGCGCGGAGGAGTAGTTAGCGATAAATAGGTGCTTTCGGTAGTATCTACGTATATAGAGTCCCCTATTAAATAGTTAGCTTCTCTCTCGTTCCTTTGCAATGCTATATACTTATACTAACGAGTAGTACGCGTAGTATAGCTATAGAAGGGGTTGTTCTAGCGCTATTCGTACTCGTAGTGCGCCGGCTCTTCGCGATTAACGATATACTAATCTTCTAGAGGTATACTGTCTACTAGACTAGCGCCGTCTAGCTTTTATTAAAGCCCTTAAATAAGGTAAGAAAGATAGAGCGTAGTTACGCCTACTTTCCGACGTTATTAGTAGCTATAGAAGTCTAATACTATTAGTTATGCCCTCTATCTATTTACTTAGTTTAATACCGGTATTTAATCTAGCTCTATTGCCTTATTAGTCTAGAAGTCTACTAAGGCTAGCTCTATCGTAGTTATCGCAATCTCGTCGCTCTTAGGTTTTATAGTTTAATAACCCTCTATGCTATTAATTCTATATCTAATAGCGCGACCGCATACTATCTATTCTACTACCTATTTACGACCGTCCGCTAGAGTATAATAAGTCGGAGATATAACTTCGAAAGTAGCGCAAGCTTAAATAGCAACTTCTAAGCTAAATACGTCGTTTATAGGTTAAAGTTATCGATTTAACTAAACAAGAGTCTCAATCTTTAGATAATAACTTAGCCTTAGTACGGATTAGCCCGCGGACCCGGCGATTCCTATTAGATCGGAATTAATTTCAATTAAAGCTCCGAAGGCGGGGTACTAGCTTCTTCTAACACTTCTAATATCTCCTTCTAAAGCGATTAGCTATTTCTATCGATATAATATACTAATTTATCGTACCCGACACTACCTACTATACTACTTGCAAATCGTCTATCTAGCTAGTTAACTCTACCGAGTATTAAATCCCTTCTTTTTAGACCGCTAGGGCTATTACTAACGTACGAAATCGCGACCTAACAAACTACCGAATAGCGAGTCTACTACCGAGCCGTGCTTCTATACAAACTACGTACTACTATTAAACAACTGCACCGAATAGCTAAATAGCCGCTTATTTATATCTTAGAGTAGTCTCGTAAGGCATTATCGACTATCTATTATATCGTTTATAAGCCTTTTACTCCTAGGCGCTACTAAGCCTACCGAATTAACGAATTCGACTATTCGCGCCCTATTCCTCGAGAGATTGCCCTTACCTACGTACTAACTCGACGACGTAGCTGCAGGCTCTATATAGACACCTAAGAGCGCCTTATCGTCGACTATATTACTTAGAACGCTACAACTCGTCGTATAACTTAGACGGAAGTTAGAGACTTACTCGGTTTAAATTACAGTCCTATAACCGTCTCTTGTATCTATAGAAGGTATAGTTATCGCCGCTACGTTATACGCCCTCGGCCCTTCTATAACGACTGTATTCGACGCCTACGCCTCGAATAGGCTTAATTCTATTAATACTTTACTAAAGAAGACTAGGTAAACGTTTGTTAAGGGCGGCAACTAAATGGTTCAAAACGAGTTCTCGAAGATGTCTATCTACGAGAGGCGCGCGAGAAGCGTAAAAACTATAGCGCTAAGACTTGATACCTAAGGCATCCTTAACTAGGAATAGGAGGGTTACCCCGTAACACTACCCCCCCCTTAAGCGGAGGTATTGCGACGCTTGTAAAAGCAAAGAGATATTGTACAAATCGTTATACTTGTCGTTAGAAGCGGCGCTAGCGGCGGCGCTAGGCGGCAAAGTAGTAAGTAAGTGCGATAGTGCGGTATCCTACGGACGATACGAGAGGTGTATATAGTCCCTTATAGTTAGAGCCTTAGCTAGAGTCTAGAAGAGCTATACCGGAGGGCTATACTAGTAAGGTGTTTAATACTTCGGCGGACGGGTTAAGCGGAAGGTATATTGCGTACTAAGCGGCGAGGTGCTGCGGCCGGCGGCAGCTTCTTAATCGGCTCGTATAGTATCTAGCCTGCTAGCTTCTTCTAGCCTAGTATAGGCCCTACGGTACGAGGGTTATCGTAATACTAGTTAGCGATAGCGTCCTCTACGGTGCCCTTTAGGTCCTTCGTGTACTTATTGTCCGTTAGCGCACCTCCTGCCTACTATACTATATAAACAACTTCTTTCTTACTACGGCTGTTCTTCTATCGACTAGTAACAACTTTGTCTACTTTCTATCGTTCTTTACCTTGTTCGTCTGCTTCTAGCGGTAGCTCGGTATCGGTTTAGTTCAGATATAGGTTGCCGTTATCGAGGCGTAGGAGTAAGGTATAGAAGCGATCGTAGATGCGTATAGTGTTAGGCAAGGCTAGTTAATATATATCTAAAGCGATTACTCGGGTGATTTCGAACGGACCTATATACTTATAGTCGAGCTTCTTTACTAGGCATTTAGTCTAAATATTGCGGGTGTCGAGCTATACCTTATCGCCGATCTTGTAGGCGCGTGCGGGACTATATCTCCTTGCTTTATCGTTAGCGGCGGCTATACGTGCTTAGGCATATCGCATTTGAGTAATAAGGTGTTCGTATAGAAGCTCTATTTGTTTCGCAAATTTATTAGCTTTAAGCTCGGACGTACGCGCGGGACTAGCCGCGGGTAGGTCCAGTTTTATAAGCTTAGCGGCTAATAATCGTATGCGAGGATTGCGGCTAGTAGTAGCAAAGAATCTACTAACTCCGGTAGTACTAGATTGAATACTGTTAGCGGCGAATTCTACGTTCGGGATCTAGTTAACCTAGTCGTCTTAGGTATAGTTAATATATACGCGGAGGTACTGCTCGAGCTCCTTATTAGTGTTTTCTAACTAACCGTCGGTAGTAGGATAGAAGGCAGTAGACATACGCTGCTTAGTGCCGACATTGCGTATAAGGCGACTAAAGAACGTTAATGTCTACTATAACCCGCGATCGCTATAGAAAACGTCTATATGTCCGATATCTCGCTATATGTACTAATACTAGAGGTTACTAGCGTATTCCGCGGTTATGTCCTTCGCTAGCATAAAGCGCTTACGTTTCGAGAGGCGACAGGTTGCGGTAAGCAGATTCTCGTAGGTATTATTGTCTAAGCGAGACAGGCTAGGTAGCAGCTTAACGATATAGTCTAGTGTAACCTACGTCTAAATACCGTCTAGAAGAGGAAGCTGTCGGAGATTGCCTTAGAACTAATTATGCTAGGTCTTAATGCGGCGGTAGGTAGCGTAGGCGTAGACATATCTGCGGATATTGTTATACATTCCGGGCTAGTAGTAGTCTCGTGAAACCAACTCGTAAGTTTTTTCGCGGCCTAGGTGCCCTATAGTAGGCTCGTTATAATATATACGCATAACTTCTTAGCGCAGGTCGCCGTCCGGTACGTAGATCTTATTGCGGATACGTATATAGCCTTTATTATCGATACGACAATCGACTAAGGAAATGCCTGCGTTAAGCTTAGCGAGAACCGTAGGACTAATGCGGTCTTTGTCTACGGCGAGGGCTTCGCGGATTGCTATCGCTAATAGATCATCGTCGTACGCGGCCTTAATAAGTTCTTCGAAGGATGTATTATCGCCGACGTTAATTACCTCTAAGGCGGCTAATGCAAGATAGTACTAATTATATACTAGATTCGCGGCTTCGGAAACATCGATTGTTAAGTAGGCTACTTATAGCTGCGCTATGCCTTCCGAGATATTGTGAGGCTTAAGAACGACTTGTTGTCTATTTCGTACATTATTAGTAGCGTCTTAGTCCTAAGCTCGGCGTATAAGGGCGTTAGCTTTGATATTCTGCTTGCCTAGCCTATAGTCGATCTTGAACCTAAAAGTAGAGAGGAACTCGCTCTACCTTACTTAACGGCGGTTTAGCTGTTTAGTAGTTATAAAGTATTAGAGGGTGCGATAGTTAGTAAGCACTTTAATGATATATTTACTCCCTATTAGCTCGGGCCTCTATTCTTCGAATGCTCTAACAATTGCTATTAACTCCTTATCGTAGATCTCGTAATTGCACTCGGCGGGTAATATCTTCTTAGAATAGAATGCAACTAGCAAGAGGATTCTATCGGCATTCGGTTGTAAGAGCACGCCGCCGGTAACCCTATCGGATAAATCGGCTTCTACGGTATAGGGTTTCTCTAGATTATAATGTATTAGCACTAGTGCTCTTGTAAAGGTAGCTTTTAAGGTCTTAAAAGCAGTCTAGTACCTAGCAGTCTAAACGAATAGCGTTCGTTGCTTTAGATCCTTAGAGTTCATGCCTTTAGTAAGTGCTATTATAGGCATTACGATCTTAGAGAAGGATGCGATGAATCTTCGGTAGAAGTTAGCTATACCTAGGAAGGCGAGAACGTCCTTAATGTTACGAGGCGTAGCCTAGTTAAGTATAGCCTTTACCTTAGCTAGGTCTATCTTAAGACCCTCGGATGTAATAATAATGCCTAGGTATTTAACTTCCTTAGCGAAGAACTTGCTCTTAAAGATATCGATCGGAAGTTCGTATTCGCGGAAG